ACTTTGTTTAAACTAAAGGTTGTGGCAGTTACTTTTCTATTTATATAGAGTTTGTTGGTTTGGTTTTGTTGTTGTTGGTGGTGGTGGTTTGGTTTTTTTGTTTTGTTTTGGGTTTTTTTTTTTTTTTTTTTTTTTTTTTTTTTTTTGAGAAGAACATTTTCTTAAAGTGATTTTCACTTTTCTTTTGACTAAAGAATTTCAAACTAGGAGAATGAGATGCTATTAATAGTAATTGGAAGTGTGGTGAAGGTCCTTCCCCTAAGAATTCTACTCATGCATGCAGTTACATGCACAAAGAGTTAGCTGCAGAGCCTCCCTCTCCCATACCTCCTGTTGGAGGTGTGGGGACTTAACGTGCACCTGTGTGTGCATGTGACTTTGTGTGGTACTTAATTGACAATATGTGAAGTTGCAGATTTTAGCAAGCAGTACAGGTGCACGTTAAGATCCCACATCTCCAACAGGAGGTATGGGAGAGGAGAACTGTGCATATAATTCTATAGGTGGGTGGCAACAACTCTCTGCTTGAACATGAATTTGGGGGATTAGTGATGAAAAGGCCTACATTTAGGTGTTAGGTGTTCATTTGCATTTTTTCTGTTAAGTGTCTTTTCTGTTGTACTGCCGATGCTGATCCTGAAAGTATAGCTCACTTATTGCTAGTTAATTATGTGCTATTAATAAATCAGTAAACAACTTTCATTCTGATTAGGTTTAAGTTCAGTAAACTGGGCATGCTTTCCTTTTTATACCCATATGTTGCAATTGCAGATATTACATGAGACACAGTGTCATTATAAATTGAAGTTGTCTGACTGTGGGAGAGACAACTGTTGACAAAAGATGGTTTCACTATTAATTTCACTACTGAGGGCTCTTTTGTGAATATTTTTGAGCAAAATAATGACTGCTTCTGGAGTGCTGCAGGCCCTAATTATATAATTACAACCAGTTGATACAGAAAGCATGCTGTTAGAACGTTCTGACCTTATAATGGTCAGAAGTGCTGTTTCAGCAGTGAGTAAACTTGGGTCCTATTATTAAGCGTCGCAAGTTGCCTGCTGGAAGACTGACTTTCTCAGGTCTGTTCTCTCAAAACAAATCAGGTTTGTGCAAACATGCTGAAATGTAGTTTTAAGTCCCCAGACTGAGTAGGGAATCAATAAAGTCTTGAGTAACTTGGTTTGTGAAGGAGTTTTAGACAAAGTTGCTTCCTGAGATCTTTTCCAGCCTGAACCTTCCTATGATCCTGTATCTAGACATGCCCTTTTGCTAGTACAGGGAGTATGTGGTAATATCTTGTCTATCTGGCCATAACCAAGAGAATATTTAGGCACAGTTACGGAAGTTCTCCTAGCAATAGTTGTTCTTCTAGAGGTAAGATCCAGCTGCCTTTGATTGACTAATTACTTGAATGTTTCTGCCTTTGTTATCAACAGGAGGTAAGTGTACTTTAGAGATTAATTCTCGTTACTGTAGAGGTCCTGCTGATACCTCTTTGTTAGTGTGTTTGCTTATTCAGTTCAACCTTCTTAAAGGCCAGAGATGACTGTAAGTCAGATACTATAAAATAAGTTGCTTTTAAATCAATAGATATACTATAGAGGAGTGAGGAAAAGAAGAAGGATTAAGTTCCTAATTTTTATTTCCACTTGGTTAGGATAAGATTAGTCAGTAACTCACAGAGTTCATGAGCATGAGACTGGAAAGAATTGAGTCTCATTCTCCAATTTGTGATTAGTTGTTTCTTTTGCCTACCTTATTCCTCTATGAAAAATACTTCAGAGCCTCACTTTTAAGGTGTTACTTCAAATTTTTAGCTTAAATGTTTTTGTAGTAAGTTTATACTTGTCTTTTATGTGCTGATTTTATCTTTCATTTTAAAATATTTTAACATTCGCAGTGTTCATAGAGAGCAAGTGATGAATTTATGGTAAATTTTCAATTTAGTTCCAGGTTCAGTTCAGCTTTAGGTCAAAGTATGCCTGTCTGACTGTGGTTCATACCCATAATACTTTAGCTAGTAACCCAAAAGCAGTTTGATAAACTTGATCTTCTTTAAATTTTTTACATCAGAAGATACAGCATCAAAACTGCAGAAATGATAGAACCTATGCCTCCCTCATAGATTTTTACATGTAATTGGTTTGAACCACAGTCTCTAGGATGGAGTGTGTCTCCCAGCACTCTGTCTCAACATATTTCCAGCTCTCTGAGCTTTCTACAGAGATGAAGGAATTAGGAAACAGCAGTGACGCTGCTACATTTGAAAAGCAGTTATTACTGCAGCTGTGACTGGAAACCATCTTAAGCTCTTAGAGTAGGATCACTGAATAGTTTATTTTGAAAGAGACTGTTAATAGCCATCTACTTTCAACACTCCCGCAGTGCGTAGGGACATCCGTTCCTAAGTTGGGTCGCTCGACTTTGAAGCCCCTCCAGCTTAACTTTGAACACTTCCAGTTCATCCACAATATCCAGTTTCGGGACATTCACAATTTCTTCGGGCAACCCATACCAGTGTCTCATCATAAAAATGTCTTCCTTGTAACCAATCTAAATATTGTCTCTTTCACTTTAAAACCATTGCCCCTGCTCTGTCACTATAAGCCTGGAAGTTAGTCCTTCTCCACTTTTCTTATAAGCCCCCTTTATGTACTGAGAGGCCACAGTAAGTTCTCCCCAGAGCCTGCTCTTCTTCCTCAACCTTCTAGCCACATTTGTTTTCATGTAGCCTGTTTGGCTTTCTGGGCCGCAAGTGCACATTGCTGGTTTGCATCTAGTTTTTCATCAACCAGTATTCCAGTCCCTCTCTGCAGTGTTGCTTTCAATCAACTCATCACCCAGTCTGCAGTGATATCATTTCTTCTCACCATAAGGAAACTTGCTTTTGTACTTAACAATTCCCTGGTACTGAAACGCATAAATGCATGCAGTAAGGTTGGTGCAGAGAAGAAAAATGGAAGTGTTCTGGTGCAGTTAAGAGCATTGCTGTCTGCAGAAGGACCTTTTTCTGTATCACAGAACAACGGGAATTTAAGATTTGTTCAGTACTGTCCTGTGACAAGCTATTTCATAAATCTTAACTTAGGTGCATAAACATTTATCTTGACTGATCAAATGTGTACTAATAGGTCCAAAATTGATTCAGTGTGCTCATCACAGAGACATGGAGCAGGGCAAGAGTTCATCTTCCACTTATGAGTCATTTGACAAGAGAAAGAGGAAGGGAAAGGAAAGAGATGTTTTAATACCTGGTAGATTTCTTGTAGGTGAGACAGCTGGAAGCTATTTTTCATGAAGACTACTGCTTTGAATCAGTAACTGCAAACATGGTCTAGGCAAAAACAAATCTATTCTTACCATATTTTGAGAAGAAAAAAAAAAATCACTGATTTGGATTTCAGGTTTGATTTGAGATCTGTCTTCTAAATATACTCAATTTTAACCTACATCAGTAGGCTAACCAAGCCAGTGATCTTAAGGGTCTTTTATGTGGTCTTTTGGGAGCATACAGAAGATGAATCAGTGTATTTTGCATGTGAGTCAGATGCCACCAATACAGAATATGAGGTCAGCTGTTTTGTATCCAGCTCTCAAGAACACTTCACCCTCTTACACTTTTTCCCAAATTCTCAAGTGTCAAATAATTGCCCTTATATTGTCCACATTTCCAACGCAGTGCACTTCTAAAGCTAAGGCATTTTAAGGAAGATATTAGTAAGACTGTTGCTAATGTAAATTCACAAAGACTTCCTCTGCTAGTCCAGTTTGCCACATAGTTCCTCTTTTTCTGCAGTTTGTATTATTCTTTTTGATGCTTCCTTATTCTTATTACAATTATTATATTCATTTGTATCTCCTACATCATAAAATTTTGCATGTGATACTGAAACAAATGCTTCAATGTCACCAAGGATTACGTGGTTAAGTATGTTTTCTTTTCTCTGGGTGGTTGGCTGTCTTAAGCATGAACCAAAGGGTTAGTAAATCAGTTTGTATTTTTCAAAGGATTGCAGAATTGTAGGGGCTGGAAGAGACCTCCAGAGATTGAGTCCAGGCTCCCTCATGCAGGCTGCACACGTAGGTGTCCAGGCAGGTCTTGAATATCTCTAGAGAAATAGAATCCATAACCTCCCCTGGCAGCCTGCTCCAGTGCTCCGTTACCCTTACTGTGAAGAAATTCCTTTCCATATTGGTGCAGAACTTCCTGTGCTCCAGTTTATGACTGTTTCCCTTTGTCCTGTTCCCACAGACTGCAGAAAAGAGATTGGCCATGTCATCTTTGTGGCCCTCCACTGGACTCTCTCCAGGAGATCCTTGTTTTCCTTGTGCTGGATATTGTAACTGGATACAATACTCCAGGTGAGGCCTGACCAGACCAGGGCAGAGTAGAGAGGGAGGATCAATTCCTTCAACCTCCTGGCCACGTTCCTTTTAATGCACCCTAGGATCCCATTGGCCTTCTTAGCTACCAGGGCACACTGCTGGCTCATCACCAACCTGTCATCCGCCAGGACCTTCGCCACAAAGATCCTTTCCAGCAGGTCATGTCACAACCTGTACTGATACTCGTGGTTATTCCTTCCCAGCTGCAAGACTTTGTTAAACCTCATCTGGTTTATTGTTTTTCAGTTCACCAGTCTGTCCAGGTCTTGTTGAGTGTCAACCATTCCTCCCAGCTGTGTATCATTGGCATACTTAATCAGGGCGGACATTATGTTCAAGATATTGAACAAGACCAGACCCAGCATCTGCATTTAGTGTGAATTAGATTTTTTTGACAAAGCATATAAAACACAGGCAATAAAACTATGTATATAGTTGTGCAACTACAAAGATGCAAGAATAAGCAGACTGCAGGGAGGAACAATGTCAACCCAAATTGTTAGACATATTTTATTTATTTAGTAAAGTTTGGAGAGGGGAAAAAAAAGCAGCAAGTGTGTGTTGCAAGAGGATTAGGGGAAGTGACTGCTGAAATCACTCAGTATAAATGGGGCAAGGTCAGTCCCTGGAGGCAGTCAGTGAGTAAATTAGGAGTGCACATAACACAAAGTAATTAAAAAAAAAAATTGGCTACAGTACTAAATGCACTTACTTCTGAGTTCCTGAATCACTAGTATGCCTTTCCTGGGCTATGCAGTTCTCCTGCTATGTTGGATGTATTGTACTGCAGAGAGAGGTAAGCTTTAATCTGAGGAAAAAAAAAAAAGAAAAAAGAAAGACAACAAAGTGTATGGAAAGATAGTTATTAAACCAATTTGTAAATAAACTGCTTGAATTGAAGCCTATTTTAATGAACTTCTGACAACAATAATTGAGGTTTCTTCTGGTAGTATTTAGTACCTTCAGTATTTAGTATTTTGTCATGGGTCATTTTGTCATTTTTCATCTGTTTGTCGGATAACTACTGCTATTACTAAACTGTATTATTACCCCTATAAACTACAGTTAGATGAATTATTTGTTTGCTCTGTTTGTTAATTATTCTAAGATGTAAAACTTGTAAAAAGTTGGTAGGTTAAAATAGATTATATTCAATAAATATGTATTTCTGTCTGTCTGAAACAGTCTGTGTGATAATCTGAGAAAAAGAAGCTGTTACTAGATTGACTGAAAAGCTTATAAAATATCCATTAAATGACAGGTTTGGTCTATGGTATTTTTCATCCATTGAAAAGATAAATGCATGCAGATACACTCTGGGACTTGTTTAAAGAGGTAGCTTCTATTCTGGGTATCTTTCCAGAAGGCTGCAGTAATATTTTCTGCTTCACTGTTGAATTTATTTTCCTTGACATTGTATTTATATTGCTTAATATGATTTTTAGTAATTTGTTTTGCTTTGTCTGTTTGTTTTCTTGTACAAAGACTGGGGAAAAGGCACCATGTGGTTTTGAGCTAGTATATCTTAGTTCAGTTCAGGTTGTTGTTAACTTTGGGTGAAGATTATGAAGACTTTATTAATCAAAACAATATGATGCATTTTACTTTGAAAATGAAAAAAAAAAAAAAAAACAACCCAGGATGTTACTGAAATTTAGCATATTTTTAATATGGACTTACAGTGTATAAATACTGCTCCAAAGCAACTACAAAAGCCTATTTCATTTGCAAATTAGTCTAGAAAGATCCTGGAACTTGTAAAGGGAGTTTGCTTGAATTTGCACTACCTTTTCACGGTGCTTTCTTTAGCTCAAGAAGTTTGCAAAGGAATGGCAGCAGTTTAGCAACATTTGGTTTGTTTTGGGGCACCTCTTACCATGTGTCCTGCAGCTTTCTTATTTCAGTCTTCATACTGGAAGACTGTGTGAGTCATTTGAGAGCTGGATTATTGCTTGAGTACTTCTACCTGAATTTGCAGTTTGTGCTGGGTGTTCTGGAAGTTGCTACCAGCATAATAATGGTGGGAAAGTAATTTGAGCTATTTCTAATCATGATCAAGTCACATGTGTTTAATAAATGATTTATTACAGCTGTTCTGGTTTCCCACTGAAGTGTTTGAAGGAATGCATTTAAGCTGTACGTGCTAATGTAAAAGTAAATAAATCCCAATTTTGTTGAGTACACAGATCAAAGTGCATGATGTAATTGATATAATTTTGAAGTACATCTTGCCAGCTCAAACTACTAAGAAACCACATTTAAAAAGAGTATTAACTAATTGTAGTCAGAAATACATATGCATACTACAGCACCTGGCAGTAACACTTGCTGTCACATAGACTGATATCAGTGCAGTATAGTAAAGAACAATCAGAGAGTTGAAATGAAATCCAGGGAGAAACATAATGTAGTGGTTAAGAGACTGTCAGGAGATCATTTTTGTCTTGTTTGTTTTTTAACATAAACAAGGAGGTGTAGAATCCCCACTCTGCACAACAGACAATGAAAATATAAATCAGAAATAAGAGGAGAATACAGCAGAGAAGCTCTCCTCTGCTGAAAACACCTGCCTAGCCTATGGATGTGCAAGATGTGCACTGTTGCAGAATTCTGTCCTTGCAGAAGTCAGTTCAGTCTGGACATCCAACATTGCCCCATACTATCTTCAATTTCAGCCTGACTGACTTGCTGTCATATGAAAAATTTTTCACAGTTCGGAGAAGTCATAACATCTTCAAATTCAATGATGTCATTATGTCACAGCATTCTATGTCATGATACACTGTATGGATTTTGTTTGTGTATGTGGTTGTTTTTTAAGCAAGTACTCAAATGTACAATGGAGGATATTACGGTACATTGAAAATGTCTATTCCTAGAACAAATTCTTACATACTATTTATTGTAGGTATGAAATGAAAAATAGGCTAATAGGTCAAATGATGAGGTATAAAACCTGAAAAAAATAAGCTTTTTTTTTTTTTTTTTTTTAAACAAATGAGGTTGAAAGCAACAAATTTAGATGTCTGAATAAGAGATAGCTAAGACACCCGTGTGCAATTTCTCTATGAACTTTTTATAAATGGGATCTAAAATTGGTGTGTTGGTTTGAATGTGAGATGATTGAGGTGTTGATTTGTTGTCTGAATAGTCTTGCAGTTGCTAACAAGCAGGTGTATGCATAGAAGACAAGAAAAGTTAGTTACATGTATAACTAAAGCTGTTCTTGAAATCGTAGAATTTGGTCTGTACTTTCTCTACACACAAACTGAAAGCATTGGTATTAACAAGATTAACAAGCTCTAAAGAGCTGGTTCTATGCAGAACCAGAAAAAATCCCTTGTTCCATCTCTGCAGACAGTCTTTCTTGGGCAAAATAACCACTTTTTACACATTTACAAGATGGAGCCACCTAGAGGAATACTCTTCATTTAACTTACTCCTAGATCTTTGGAGGAAAAAAAAAAAGGTATTAAAATGTGAATGTATCTTGCAAATGAGAGTGGAAGTCCCTGCCACTTTTTTTGTTGGTAGAGTACCCTCTAGTGGACAGAGCTATCTTCTCAGGATGGTTGGTTGGAAGGAACATCATTGTTTTCAGAGTAACTGAAATAGTTGGGAAGATGATGAACCTGTGGGAGGTCTGACACTTCCTTTATCACCTCAGCGGTGTCCTCAAAGCTCGCCTACCTCTCCCACCTACTTATGCCAGTCAAAAGAAAGTTATTAGATCTCACAGTGAGCATTCTTTTCTTTATACTTTCGAAATGCCACAGCTACAGAATTACACTTTTCAAAATTTTTACACTTTGATGTAGAAGGATTAGGATTTTTTTCTGCTCACTTTGTATTAGAAATCGCACTACTTAATCTCTGACTGTGATGGCCCTTCTATCCCCTTAAGTTCCTAAATATTTTTCCTGTACTCTCACTTTCAGGCAGCCCTTGGACCATCAGCACTGCTGCTTTCTCAGACCAGGAGTCCTATAACTAAACTGGTTTAGGTTTTGGTTCCAGCTCTATACTTAGCAATGAATCTCATTCATCAACAAACTTCTATTTCTAGCAGACATTTCCCATTTCTTTTCTAAGTTTTAATTTCTCAGAGATCACTTTTCATCAGTTCTCACTTTTGATGTTCAGATGTAAAATAGACAGCGTTATAACTAATCAGCTACACTGTCCAGAGTCTGTTACTGTAGGTAAAACTTCAGTCTTTAAAGTACATTTCAGTCATCTAGGCAGAGAGATTGAAACTAGGTCAATGAAATTAAGTTAATGATTCCAAACACACACACAAAAAATATTTTTTAACATTCTTGACATGAGGTTATGTTTCTTAACAACTTCCCTTTTTTTTTTTTTTTTTTATTATTTTCCCCCTTCAGTCTCACTTTTCTTATTCTTAAATTGTTGAAAATTCTCTTAATAAAATTAATTCAGGTCCATTTTTAAAAATTCATATGGGCTGTACATTTCACAGAGACCAAAGAAAGCCTCATAAGGAGCTTTTGGGGAAGACTACATAATATTGAGTTAATGAAAAACATCAGATATCTCCTACTCCACAGCCCAAACTGAATCAAAATACTTTAAAGCTTACAAAGATTAAAGTGAATACACAGAATGAATTACACCGTGTAACAAGTAGCATGTCATAAGAACCTTATAGAATGCTTTAGAAGATCATAACTTTAGCCAAACAGAAAATTTAGGGGATCTAAAACAGAAGTCTGACAGATCTTGACCAAGTGGAGCATGAGCTTACCGTCAGCAAAGGTGGTGGTGGTGGCTGCAGAATAAGATAGCTGGAAAAGAGTACTAACAGCAGAAGGACTGGCATGGAGGAGCTTCTGCAGATGCAGGAGTAGCAGATTTTTTTGGTTTGAACTGAGGCGCTAATCTCTGGTTGCAGTCTTCGTAACTGAAATTTATTTTGAATGATGGCTGCCCAGTGTGTGTTTGCATTTTCCATTGGCTTGACTGTTTTTTCATCCTGTCCTACAAAATGTCTGTTCGTAGCCCACAAAATGTGGATTCTTAACAGTTTTCCATTTCATAACGAAGTAGAAAAGATATGTGCATTTGATCACAAATATACCCAGGATTTCTTGCTACATTTTCTATTGTAAAACTATTTTGGAGGTGTAGCATGTGTCTCAATCACCAATATTTTTATTTATAATTTCTAGCTTGCGAACAACCTCCTCCAAGGAGAGTTAAAGAAATACCTACTGAAGCATGGGACAACCCTCCCTATCCACATGATACTCTAGTAACATACAAATGTCGGCCTGGATATATGAAAATAGGACGAATTGTGGTCAAGTGTGCTGATGGAGAGTGGAAGCAACAAGGCAACACGGAATGCAGGAGTAAGTATTGAGAGATCACTTCCGGAATTTTACAAGTCTAACGTTGATGAAACTTCAAGTCTAAGCAAAATAAAGCACTAACCTATCTTCTGAATGCAAGTCAAAGAAATTATTTTTTTGTCTTTAGTTTATTCAACTTGTTTTAAAGGATACAGCTTCTTGGAAGTTGATTGGACTTTTTGGCATTAAAAAATTATAGAATTTATTTTCCCATGCCTTTTCTTTCAAACTATAAAGGAAAACTCAGGTGAGGATAAAAGCTGCTGCTTATTATTTCTGTTGTACCATGTTAAGAGTTTAGAAGTGTCTCACACTTTCATACTGATTTCACTGAGGAAGTGGAACTTAATTATTGTTAGTCAGAAGATACTTTCTATAATGAATGAGTACTAAACACAAATAAATATTAGGCATTTGAGCTTTTTTCTCCCGTGTATTTCATAGAAATTTTGTCTGTCTCAATACAACTACTTGGCTTAATCATACAAAATTAAGTTTCAGAGATCAATAGATATTTTAAGTAAAAAATAATTAATAGACTTGTTGGTAGTTTCTTTTATATTTTAAATTGGGGTGGATTTTTTTTTTGTTACTTTCTTACTTCTAAATACATTTGCATAAATACTTGGTGCACAGAAATCTTTCCAATTATACTAAAATTAGTGTAGTTTTTTTAGTTACATACTTTAGTGAATACTGCCACCCTGTGAACTGATGCTGAAACTGGTAAGGTACATGTGGAGGAAAAAAGGATGATTTGGTACAGATAATGTGCTCATATTCACTTTTCATGACAGATCACACTAGGTAGCAAAATTTACAATGGAGAGATGTATTTTCTTTGAATCACACTGAAAGAAATTTAGGGCCTATTCAAACATATCTTATTTGGATTAAAAAACAAACAAACAAACAAAACAAACAAAAAAACAGAGATGCTGATGTGTAGCAAGAAATGAAAATGCCTTGTTTGATAGAGACTAGGAAGGATTTCTTCTGACGATGCCTAGTAAAATTTAGCTGTGCAATCTATTTTGCTGTCCTTATTATAATATCTAAGGGAGATAAATGAGAATTATAGGATCATAGAATAGTCTGACATGGAAGGACCCACAAGAATCAGAATCCAACTTCTGGCTCCATGCGGAACCACACAGAATCTAAATCCTATGTCTGAGAGAGGTGCCCAGAGCTCCTTGAACTCTGACAGTTTGGTGCCATGTTCATTCCCCTGGCCAGCACTTGCTCTTGTTAAACTTCACAGGGTTGAGGACTGCTCAACTCTTCAGTTGACAAAGATCTCTCTTCAAGGCCTCTCTTTCCTCAAAGGGGTCAACAGCTCCTCCCAGTTAAGTGTTATTTGTAAACTTACACATATGCCTTCAAGTTTTGTATTCAAGTCACCTATGACAGAGACCACGTTCTCATTTTTGCAATTCTGTTTTGGAATCCAATTGAGGCCAGACCATAAGAGCAGTCCTAGGGGAAACTTGAGCCACATTACTCCTGTGGCTTCAGATAATCACTCTTTTTTCAGCACAATTCCCATCAGACTGAGGATATTTAAATGCCAGTCATGGATGGCTTCTGTAGTGGAAGGTTTGGAATGGTCTGTGTCAGAAGTTATATGAAAAATTGATGTTACATTCTGTCTTTAAAATGTGTCATAAAGCTTAAAATGAGATTAGTCTTTTTTAAAGGAGCAAAGGCTCCTAATTTGCTATTTAGATTAAAAGAAAGAAAAAAAAAACCTCATTCTACTATGTTCTTATTGAAAACAATGACTAAAAGAAAAGAAGGTTAATCAAGGTAATGCTGAACATTTTGCATTGAATAGTTCAAAACACGCTCTATTAATTAAAAGAAAAGTGCTACCTTTCACACTTTCATTTCTCTGTGTTTGGTTAAGTACTTGCTTTTTAACTATTTCTTTCTTACCAGGTAAGCCCTGTGGACATCCTGGAGATACTGAGTTTGGTTCCTTTCAGCTTACTGCTGGAAACGAGTTTGTCTTTGGTGCCAGAGTTGAATACAGATGTAATGATGGGTAATATTATTTAACTCAATATTAGGAGTTAAGGTTTTAATGTTAATAGAATACTGGTTATAAATTTGTTGTCTGTAAAGCAGCTGCCAACTTGCTCATATTTAAGAATAAGAAATTGTTGTTTAACTGAAAATACTGTAATTACAATACTAAACGTAGCTTTTTCCTATGTCTGGTCAGAAGTTTAGTGGTATTGGAACAACTGTACCTCACACAAACGGAGCTGTCATCCCAAGTCTCAGATAAGGTTGTAGCTCACTTGAAATTATGGCTGCCTGAGTAGAAAGCAAAACAAATTTTCTGCCTCAAAGCTGGGTAATGACTTGAGAAAGTAGCCAGTTCAGATGGAAATGCAAATCCACGCACTGCCATTAGTACTCTCAGTAGGCAGTCGTTATGCAGTTATGTTGGAGAAGTCATTAGGCTGTACAGTGGAATTGTCTATTCTAAACTACAACACATCAAACCTCCTTAAATCATTTCTGTGAGTTATGAAAGGAGAGAGTTACTGAAGGAAGATGTTTCTGGTAGATAGAGTAACATCTCTTCACTTACTGCTTGGAAGAAATTCTGTTATCTCTCTCTGTTCATCTTCTCCAATGAAAGCTGCAGCAAGGCAGATGTACAGTGTTGTGTTTAGGTAAGTATGCTGATAATTGGATTATTTCTTCATGAAATGCAAATCAGCTATAACCATAGTACAGTGTTTTAGCCATGTTTTTGAAGACTTTGTGTTGCTGGAAGATGTACATATATAAGTTAGGAAATCAATATTCTCCTTAATCTCTTAAGTGCAGACAGTTCTTCATAGTCATTTTAGACTAGCTGTAATCTTCTGAATACATTCCAGACTAGGCAGAAGCTGTGTCATTGTGTCTATGGTGCCCTCAAGCCTAAGATGATACTAATTCAGTGAAGCATGGGATGCATATGGCTTGGGTTATGTCTGATTTTGATGCTGTCCCATGGCTTTCAGTCTTAGTGGAACACAGGCAACAAGAAATTTAATCTCCTTGCTAATAACTGTGTAAATCACCCTTAGATTACTTGTTAGGTAGAGCTTGATGCCTCTGTAATGAATGTTTTTCCTATTAGAAAGCTACTTTATGAGTGTTATTTTTTTTTGTATTTTTACCATATGCAAGTAAAAGAAACAAAAATAGGGAAGATGGGCAGGAAAACTGTGTTGTTTTGTTTGTTTTTTTTTTTTAATCGTGTTTTGGTTAGTCTATGCTAGAACATCTGAAACCTACTTCCCTTGTTTCCAAAGCAGCAGCACTGCTAAGACTGTAATTTTTTGTTCACTTTATTTTGTAAGATACCGAATGCTTAGCCAGAAAAATTACCGTGAGTGTCTTGCAGAGGGATGGAGCAATGACATCCCCCACTGTGAAGGTAAAGAGAAATTGACATTTCATTCCTTATGAAACTGACTTTTTATCTGTCTGATGCTATCTAGAACTTGTCTGTGATCTCACTACTCTCTGTGGCACTTCTATTGTCTATTGTGATTACTATGATTGCTTATGTTGTAAATAACTACTCAAGAATATTCACTGATCAAACTTCTAATATTAATTTGCACAGATGTACGTATGTCTAAACTCAAATTATGCAGCAGTGAAACTCATACAATACCCACTCAGCTTTTTTAATCCAATAATTATTCAAACTTTTACCAAAAATCACTCATAAAATTGAGTCTTGTCACTCCCAGACAGCTTAAAGCTCTACCTCATGTACAGACTCTGTATGTAGAGTAAGTATCTGCAAAGCATAGTTATAAAAGTCAGCTGGGATAAGACATTTTACATGTATGTTTATACGTGTATTGTAGCTTATTTTCTCCTCTGTCCTTATGAATATTGTGTCCATTAAGATTTTGTTAGAAGTTTGACATTAGTAAGAAATAAAGAGAATAAAAGACCTAGTCCTCAGACCTGAATAGACTGGTTGGCTTGGATAGTACTAGTTACTGAATTTGGAAACCTTTTCACCAGTTTCAAACCTGTACGATTATGGAAGTAATCATCCTTTCTCCCCAGGGATAACTTTTAACTTTTTAAAAGTAATTTTTAATATTAGATATGTGAGTTTTGATGTTTCCTAACAACTGGTCTCAGGTATTCCACATTCAATTTACTGGAATTTGAGTGTCCTTAAATTTAGGCATACACCTAGCTCTCTGCTTAATTCAGAGCAATGGCTTCAATATTTTTCATCACATGTCGCCAAAGTACTGCAATTCCTAAGTCCTCACAAACTTCTTCCTTTGTGACTGACAAGTTTTTATTCAGTTGAAAGCGAGCAAATAGTATTAGAATGCATAATAAGTCTGAACACTTGTTAAAAATGTTTAAGGTAATCTCAGTGATCTATCTATATTTTAACTTGTTGTGTGTACCAATTTATTTTAGTGATAGGCCTCAAAGTGGTTGTTTTTCCCTTTGGTTTATTTGTTTTGTTTTGTTTTGCTTTCCAGTTGCAAAGTGTTTACCTGTAAAAGCACCAGAAAATGGAAGAATAGTTGTAAGTGGTGCATTTGAGCTAAACCGAGAGTATACCTTTGGCCAGGTCATAGAGTTTCAATGTAATGAACATTACAAGCTTGTTGGATCTAAAGCAATACATTGCTCTTCTAACGGAAAATGGGACAGTGATGTACCTCAGTGCCAAGGTAAAACACTATTATCCATAAGAAACTTTATTCTCATGGACTTCTAGGAACTGTTACAAAGCTTTAATTTCATTCCACAGCAATTAAGCATAGGTTGCCTCTAAACAGTCTCCATTGTATATTTGCAGAAATAGGATAAGAAAGTAAAATCTGAGAGCATTGTATGTATCAGTACAGTCATAGTGAACCACACCTGTTTGTTCCACGTTTTCACTGCAAACTGTGTTTTTCCAGGCTGCACTCAATTTCTTTGAAACTAACTTCAATATAAAATATTATTTATATGTATATATATATGATGTATAATATAATAATCTATAAAAGATTTAGTCACTTCAGTGTTTATTTAAGCAAATTAATTATCTTCTTGGCCTATCACTGGACCAGCTCCAGAATGTCTATGACTTTCTTCTACTGGGGAGGTTAGACCTGGACAGAATACTCTACATGCAGCTTCACCAGTGCTGAGTAGAGTGCAAGGATAAAGTGATCTAAATCACACGTGCTAGCACTATTTGTAGAATATAGTGATTTTTATTAAACAAAGACAATTCCGCTGAGATTTATTTCATTCTAATTATAAAATAAATCCAGCAAAAAAATCTAAGACAACCCTCTGGTGTCTTGCTCTATGACCTAGGAAACAAAATCTTATATTTTATCTGGCTTTATGAATGCAAATTTTAGAAAGTGCAAAATCTTGGTGATATTCTGAGTTTGGCAAGAAACTGAGAATGTTGAGTTTTTCTATAGATAGTCAGGTATCCTAGTGTCAGTTCTCCATGTATTTTAATGCTGTATTTTTTTTTCTGGTAATGCTATAATTTTATTGATTATCTGCTGAATATGAGAGAGCTTTAGATTTGCTGGAAATTACAAGGAAATGAAATTATGAGAAAAATGAAAAAAATCTTAAAGTTCAGCTAGCCTAGTTGCTTAGTTTAGAAAATCCCTTATCTTGTACACAATTCTAAAAGCAATTAAAAAATTAATCATAGTCCTGAAAGCTGTCTTATGAATCAGTTTGTTACTCCTGCTGTGCTACAGCATACTTGGCACCCACAATCATGTCACTGAAGAGTTCTCAGTTAAGTTCCACATAGCTTCTGAGTGCAAGTGTTTTTATTGATATAATTTCAATAAATTCAAAAGGGAAAAAAAATCCCACTAATTTTTATTCCAGTAGGGATTTATTCTCAGCAAATAAAACTGTATAAAATTATATGAATTTATGGATTTTGTTTTTTTCAACTTCAGATATTATTTGTAGCGTGCCACCAATTCCAAATGGAATTGTACATTCCTCGCAGAAGACTTACAGGGAGTCTGAGCAACTGCATTATGTCTGTAACAAAGGATACACATATGGTGAACGAGCAGATGTACAGTGTACGGAATCTGGATGGTATCCAACCCCCTATTGCACTGGTCAGCCATTTCCTTAAGTTGTTTTGAGAGTAATTTCTGAGATTAGTACTGCCAAATGTTAGTTTGTTCATAAAAATAATAATTTCATTGGCATCTGACTAATACACCATGAAGATCTGGCAGGACTAAGGGTTAAAACAGCCAAAGATCCTGATATTTGTTTTTCTTTAAGGGACATGGCAAAAATAGTTAATTCAGCCTTTCATTACTCAAGCGTAGGTGCATGGGACTAGGAAAGTAGAATTTCTTGTGTATACTGCATAAATAGATTGATGCTGAAATACTGGAGCATTAGCAGTTGCAGAAAGGCACTGTGTTCTTTTTATTCTGGAAATCTGGACTAGTGGACAAAACATAGCACATAAAATCTTGAGTTAGAAAGAATTCCTAACTTGAACAAATAGAAAGGATAATACTGAATCTCATTGCCTCCTACAAAATGCAGTGGAAATATTTTAGCAAAGGAATGGAAAAAATCAGACACTGAAAACAATTTTTAAGCAAGCAGGATAGGGGAAAAAATGTTAATATTGGAAAAATTTAAGCTAAAGGAAGAATCTGAAATTTTTAACAGCATGGGAAAATTTGAAATCAGCTTCTCAGAGTAATGATAATGATTATTGAAGTCCTCTTTCTTCACATGAAGACATTTTCAGTGAAATCTGTTTATGGGGTTTAACATGTTAACTAGTGAAAGTTCAGTTTAGTATCATTTCACTACAGCACTTAAAGAATTCAATTAGAACTCTAAATTCCACAAATAGGAACTTGTAACCATGTCCTAGCTAAATTAATTTGATATAAAATTGGGGAAAATCTTTAGTGCTTGAATCATGTTCAAGAAGTTGACAAAGGATGCTTTAAACTGAAAAAATACATTGGCAGTAGGGCAGTGTTATAGGATATTATGTACTGCCCACCTTCCTGGGATCTCTTCCAGAAGGACTTCTTTAGAAGTAAAAAGTAGTCAGCCCTATTGCTCATTTGGTCCTTGAAATTTCTGTTTCAGGATTTGCAATTATACTAATTAATATTCATTTCCTATAGTTACGAACTGACATAGTGGACTATAGTCATATATAAGATCTCTCAAAGGTCCTTCTGCAGTAGTCTGTTCTTACAGAGCTGTGCGTTTCTAAGAGTAGGAGAGAAGTGTAACCTTATCTTTGCCCTAAGAAATCTGTATTTGACTGTTAATGTATGCAGTTTTAGTCAATGTACCATGAAAATAAGAACTACATAAAGGCATTCTTTCAATTGGCGCCTATTTTTCTCTTTCCATGTAGAAGTTGTATGTTTTCCTCCAACATTTCGCAATGGAAACTTCAGACCTCAAAAAGACAGGTACATGGAAGGAGCTACAATCACAATAGACTGTGATTCTGGATATCATTTTAGCACATTGACTGCCAAAAGCGTAGCAAAATGCACCAGCAGTGGCTGGGTACCTGCTCCAGGTTGTGTTGGTAAGTAGCTCTCATGAACAAAGACACAACACACAGAATTGTTATTTTGGAAATATCTCAGTGAAAAGAGAACTCAAGAGAAAAATCTTAAGAAACATAGGAAATAAAAATGCCTCTTTGTTGTGTTTCTTAGTGTTATGAAGCTTAATGTGATGATGTGGAAGAAGCACTTAAAAAATATTGGTATAATCTAAATTCACACTGTGTTTATGAGCATGAGTATTATTTGTCACTGTATCTGTGAAACTGTGTTAATTTGCAATAGCGGGTTCCCAGACAGGAAGATTTGTGGTACACCTGCAGATTAGTGGGCCAGCCAAGTTACCAAGATGCAATGAATGTTAAAGTATCTAAACCAAAGTACAGATTGCAAGGTATGTTTAACCGTGGTTACCGTAGTTTTAGTTATTTACTTGCAGTTGTGTGTTAGTATGTAAAGAACTTCATTATAATCTGTCAAACAGCAAAACAAAATATTCTCAATTGATTATGAGGTTGAGCTTTTTTATTTATTTTTTTTTTTTTTTTTTGCTTCACTTTCTCGTAACTACAATTATATTTTTGCCCAATATGAGCAGTATAAAAGCAAAACTCAGCAATTAATTTCATAATTTGTTAATCTTTGATCTTTTGTCATTAAAAATAATATATTTTTTAAAAGTGTAGAAAACAGAAGGAGGAGAAAGAATCTCTGGTGAGGTCAATCATATATATGAACATTTGGATAAGATCTATTCAAGAAAAGTACACTGGTCTTATAGAGATTAATCATTTCTCTATTTGTGTTCTGAAACTGAGTTATTTTTCTCAGACCACCTCATTCACTGTTGAGTGGTCTGTTCACAGGATGACCCCTCTTCCTCCAGCATTTGTGCTTTAGGCCAGGGCATTTCAGGTGGAAACTATCTGCATAGCTATCGACACTGAGAAAGAATTCAGAAGCACTGTGCAATTGTTCCTGTACTCCATGGAATCTACCAGTGTATGTAGTCCCTGTTCTGTTAGTTACAGGAAGCATTCCATGGAGTCATATCTGGACTAATATTTAGAACTTTGTATGCCACGTTTTTTGACATGCATGTGTTGATATTGTTGCAATTAAATTCTTTTTAAAGAGAAACCATGTGACTACCCAGCTGTAGATAATATCATATTGAGTAGAAGCTGGCGACAGAATTACTTTCCAATGAGGATTGGGCAGACTATTTACTACCACTGTCGTGAAGGCTACTTCACCCCAACTGAACAATACTGGGTTCAGATTGTCTGTTCTCAAGGGGGCTGGAAGCCAGAGCCACAATGCCTCAGTAAGTACATTTATAAAATATGCTTAATTCTATTTTGGTTATTAATGGTCTGTGCAGGAGAAATTGTACTGTACAGCTTAGCAGCTTATTAAATTGTAACTGCTTTAGCTGATCCCTGGAACTGCACTCAGACTGTTTTCCCACCTTTTTGGCTTAAAAAATCACCGGATAAAGTGATACTACAAAGTGAATAAGTTTGAAATTAAACATTTGGATTTGGGTCATTCTTTACACCTGAGATTTAGAAAAATTAAGGAGAGTAAGAATTAGGATATGCTTTTCCTCTCTAGAGTCCAGGTCACACGCATGCATCTGCTTTCTTTTGTACACACAGTGACACATACAGATACATTCTTTTCCATGTAAATGTATTATTCCTTCAGTGGCTTAGGTGCAGTGTCTAGAGGTTATTATCTGGAATCCACTGCCTTGTCCTTTGGGATAACCTTTGGGGAAAGGTGGAACACTTTTGAAATAAGCTGAGAGTAAGAATGTCTGCAAATAAGAGATCAAGATGCACTGAATTATCATTCAACTATGGGAAACAAATTTAAACCAGTGAGCTGAGGACTCACCCATAACCCATAACTCTCACAACGCATATCTTCAGTCTCAGTGCAGTTCCTACCTACCAATAGCACCTGAAGGATCAACTAAAGGTTGAATTTTCTTCTCTTGTCCTCGGTGGACAGGAAATCAATGCAGGGAATGAGCAGAGTTGTGCCCAGTGGAAACGACCAGTTACTCCAGTAACACTGCCACAACATTCCTTCCATCTGTCCAAGCTCTTGGGATACAGGATGCGGTAGGGACAGCATGCTTAGCTGTTGATAAATTCTCTAGAGCTGGTTTGAGAGGCTGATGCACTTGCACAGGGATAGTAAAATTGCCTGGGATCAAATGCCTAATGTGTCTCAGCACAGACATCAAAATTTGAGAGACTTAGCAGAGTATACCAGGGTTGTTGTACGTGACACTAGAGGCAGTGAAGTTAGCCAGCCTTGCTTATTAACTACAGTAAGGACTTTAGTTTACTAGGCCAGTTCTTAGTGCTTTATGAAGCTCCTGTTTTTGTGATACAGTGATTACAGGGCAGTGAAAGGAAACATGCTTTGATTCAGATTTGAAAACTGATGTTCTTTTGGGGATAGACACAAGGGTAGAAGGAGGCTTTTTTGGTAAATCTCTTCCTAGGAATTGTTTTACTGCAGTTTTGGCTGTTTTTATTAATGTGGTTAAATGTACTTACTTTTCTTCTTTAGAGATATGTGATGTCAAGCGTGTGGAAAATGGTGTTATCCAAAATAATTGGAGAAGTTATTACAAAGAAGGTGAAAGAGCTAGATATTCCTGCAATACAAATTATCGTACTGACAATGAAGATGGTGAAATTATGTGCACAAAGAATGGCTGGTCACCTACTCCAAGATGTATCCGTAAAGGTGAGTGTGCTTACTTTTTGTCACAGTTTCTAACTGAAACCAATAAATCTATGATTACATTACCCATTTTAATTCCTCACCACTAATCAGTGAAACTCTAAGTCTAGGTGCCTCTGTACAGCCTATCTGTAATTTCTTGTCTCTTTTCAGTCTCTAGCTGTGCCACTTGAGCCCTGTATCTCTTGTTTGCTATCCAGTTGGTATCATATTGGAAGGAGGGAGGAACGGGAAAGTTACCTCTTCTAGAACTGTTTCCAGCTTTTGAACCTGACTTGAACCAAGCCTGAAATTGCTAGAATGCCTGACCAGAATTATGAATTCCTTAGATAATGATTTTATGCGCACGAATTCCATCTCTCAGACTGTCAGAGCATTTTTTTAGAAAACAATTCCAGCATGAAAGAGATACCTGTGATAGAAGGCTCTGAACAGCCACTCGCTAATATTTTGGCATAGCAGTGAGGAAGCAAAATAAAACTACGATTCCTATTGTTAGCCAGTAGTGGACATTACTGCAATAAACATCAACAAATTATCAATGGAACTTAAACTTTTGAAATGGTTACACTGAAGTATCATTGACTCTGCTCCCAACACTCAAATTCATCTTGTAGCGTTTCTCAAAGGCTTTGTACACCTTATCTTTATCTTTATTTACTTGACTCTAATGTGCCATTGTTGCCATTTCTTATTGTGTTCATTTCTTGAAATGAAGGAACTCTTTGCAGAATGATTTATTAGTGCACAATTCAGTATACTACAGAAGTTTTCTCCCAGATACAAGGCCATAACTTCTAAACAAGAGGATGGATTTCCACCCAGTTAGATTGGCTGAAACAAGGTATTCCAAGTGATGTGAAATCAGGCACAACACCGAGTCCATCTGCAGCGGTGGTTTGTTGTGCAAGATGGAATCCTTTGATAAGAGTTTGCTTAGTCCTGCAGTATGTGCACTCTGAGGGATTTCTCTTAGTAGAACTAAGATCTTAGTTGCACATGATGATGATCTCTGGAGTGTCCCACTTGCAATAGGGGCATAACGTCCTCCTGATGCATGCAAAATGCATGCCTAAGAATTTTGTTTCTGCTGAAAACCAAATGCAGCCATATAGTCTTGGAATCTTGAAGAACAGTTGCAAATGAAATCCCTGCCCAGCCTTGCACCACTTGGTAACACTGAATTCTGACTTTACACGTTTTGGTTGGATCCCAGAAAGGGACCTTAATGCAGAGGCAGAAATAATCATGTTCTTAAAAATGTTCTAAATCCTACTGCTGTCTTCATTTGTCCTCCTTATTCTAGATATTACATGTATGCCATTTAGCAACGAGAAGGAATTCTGTCTTTCTCTTTCAGAAATGTGCCAGTGGGTTGATCTGACGAACGGCTATTTCATGAAGAGAAAGGCAACATTTGATATAGGGGAAACAGTCACCTATAGCTGTTACAGTGGCTTTGTAACTCCAGAAAGACAAGAAACAGGAGAGATACAATGTCAAAAGAGTGGCTGGTCTCCGCCTCCAAAGTGCATCCGTGAGTAGCACTCAGGCTTCAGAGTTCCCTGCTGCTGCCGCTGGTAAAAATGAGATTTCCTACGCACTCTGATTTTCTTCATCCATACTGGTATAGTTTTCTTACTGAATGGAAGGAGAGTCAAAAAGAGGACTGAGCCTCCAGAGAGGAACTTTTCTGAGGCTCCAAGAAATAAAGACAGAAAGCAAAAGTGAGTAAGCAGGAAAAAGTATCTGCTGTCTTCTAGGTGAGCTACCTTTTTGGACCCTCAGTGGCATAAAGTATGTTTCACAGACCTTTCCAGTGATTTTAGGTGCATGCACACAAACTTAATCCCAGTTCTTTCATCTTGTTGACAAGAAGATGAACACCTTTCACACTTGTCAGGGACAATTTATGAAGAAATGCCTATCAGCCAAGCGATCATGCCAAGAACAAGTCAGCAGACTAGTGAGAAACATGTTTCATTATTTGAAGAGATATTATCATTGTGCATAAAAAAAAAAAAAAAAAAAAAAAAAGGTTAGGCTGTACTTTCTACTCTGAGGCTAGAAACTACATTTTTAAAAAAGACTGGAGTAGTTTCTTATGAAAATAGTTTCGTTCTTGTTGACTTTCTCTTAGAAGCCCTATCCTCTCCTGAACAGGAGTATAGGATAAAAAAAGAAGATAATTGATCTTCCAGTGTTACCATGTTGCCATGTTGACCAACTTTAGCTAATATTTTGCCTTATATTTTAGTTTCAGACTATGTTTACCCAGAATTTTATTTATTTATTTATTTATTTATTATGCCCTCACAAATGTTCATGGGCAAAATAAGTAAAACTATTTGATTTTACATCATTAAAATAAGAAGAAATAGTAGAAGGAAAAGAAGATGAATACAATAAATATTATGTGAATACACTACCCATGATATTCTACATTTATGTGCTGACATTGCAGAACTTTTATTGTTTTAAATATCCCCGGTCATTCTGTAGAACCAGCACCCACTGCAGTATGGAAATGGTGGCTCAAAAGAGCAAATTTCAGGATCACCAAATGCACTAACTTTGTTTCATTTTACAGAATCCTGTAAAACACCACAAACTCACGTTTTGACTGACTATGCAAGGAAAAGTATATACCTGCCTGGAGATATAATTGAGTATGCATGTCATGAGCATTATCAGACTGCAGATAACATGCCAACTGGTACTACCAGGTGTGATGTAAATGGTGAATGGAAGCCAGCACTGCAATGTGTCGGTAAATACATTTGTACTCACTAACCATTGTAACTGTGCACACTGTGAAGCTTTATTCATTCCTGTGCTTTTGTTCTAATTAGTGTTAAGTGATGATAAAAGTGTGGCTGCCTCCTCCCGCCTCTCCTGCCTGGCTGCTGTAGTGCAGCCCAGCGTCCCAGGGGGAGGGGGCCTCTGCCCAGACCCAAGGGCTGCAGGTGTCACTTCCATCTTAGTGGGTTCAACTACTAATGAAGCTGAGCACAAACCCCAAAGGCTCACAGACATTGGGCTCTGACACAGCCACACAGGATGCCACAGACAGGAGGCTGCCTTCTACAGTGCTTACATACAGGACTCAAGTAAAACATAAACATAGACCAGCTATGTCCTCTTTCTTCCTCCTTGCCAGATGAAAGAGACAGAGGTTTACCAGCAAAGGCACAAATGCAGCACTCTGGGTTCTCAAGCATGCATGCGTTCATTCGCCTCCCTCACACCAGTGTTTCTCTAGTGGCTGGTTTTTGGGATGCCACAGTAGCTGGAATTTAAAGACTCCCACTGGCTCTGATATCTGGCACCTGAAGCCAGGAGTGCCTACTCCCTTGGTCTGATTTAAGGAGCTGTCAACATTTTTTCACTGACACATATACAGGTCTCACCAGTCGCCTGCACCCAGACCTTGCTGCATGCAAACACATGGAGTTGAAAGTAAGAGTATGCAGCAAGATAGACAAGAAAAGATGTAACGAGAAGATAAAAGATGACAGGGTGGACTGTGGTGGCCAGGTTCAGGGCTCAACTAGATGAGCATACTGACCTGCACAGTTTACTTGACACTTCAATGCCTTTTTCTGTTTATTCCACTTGTTGGGATCCCTCTGCGTGACCCTTCGTGGACTTGCATAGCTGTGCTGATTTCCACACTGCTCCTTATCTGGGGTCCCCCTAGCTGAGGGTCTTATCAGCTGCAAAGTCTAGATAGATTGTCCCAAAAGCGGTGCCTGTATTTTCTTGATATCCAATCAATTAATGTAACTGGGAGGCAAGTTTCATCATTGTCTCCATGCTTGTTTTGTCAGATCTGTATATTTTGTATATTTCTGTATGTTTCTGTATATTTAGTTTGTTTCCCACTTTTCCATTAGTAGTAGCTCATATATTTTTTGTAGGTTTTGCAATATACCATGGAATATTCTTTCTTCACAGCAATAGAATGTGAACTGGCAGTTATGTCCAATAGAGATGTTGAACCTGCAAAGAGCAGATACTACAATGGAGATGTTGTGAAATTCAGCTGTGTACGTAATTATGTAAGAGTAGGCCCTGCTTCTGCTCAGTGCTATTACTTTGGATGGTTCCCATCACCGCCAACATGTAAAGGTAATTCCTCTGTTGACTTTATTGTGGTAGGATACGTATGCGAATACTTCGGTCCTGAAGACTTTTGTGGGCACGTTCTTTAAGTCAGTCTCACACCCAGGAACAATTATTGCATTGTTATCTCTAAAAAGGCGAGCACTGGTTTTCCTCAGATCGTTTGTTAGTGTTCTGCTGTTTTATGTGGAAGAAACCAAACAGTTGAATTTTCAGTGTTCGCTTCTCAGCATGTCAAAACATGGAATGTATCTAGAACATCTGTCTGATTCTGATAATCAAGCCACATGTTTTTCTTGTTGTCTTTATCCTCTTAGCTTCACTTAAATGGTTTGCACAAAACTTCACTCAGATTATTAAGTGTAAAATACTGCTTATCAAAAAAGGCATAAATAGGGTGCGATATGACTGCCAGAAATTATTTGAGTACAACCATCTCTTCCTGCACCCTAAATAACTTTTGCCACTGCCTAGCATTGATCATCAAAGACTTTTTTTCTATGCTGTTTTCTCTGATCATGTGACATTTAAAGGGGAAAAAATGATTTTGGAGATGACACACAGCTGAACCCAAGGGAAAGAAATTTGGTGAAAGTTTTTTGTTACAAATTTCCTCAATTTCATCCTGTAGGATTAACAGTTTCCTGCAGAAGGGAAGATATATGCCCCTACTCTTCTCACCATGCTGATGACAAAGCACAACTTGGTGGAATCCGAAAATAATTTTTTTAGACCATGCCTTCCATGAGAAAGATCAAAATGACAAGGGCATTTCAAATTTCTCATCCCTCTTCCTTCCTGCTTACTCAGTCATTTATGTTGTTGCCTTTCATGCCCTCACTCTTCTTTTCACTCAAATTTTTGCATTTGAAAACAAGTGTTTTTTTATGTAGTTGACTCTTTAGCTCAAAACATATTAAGCTCTTTTGGCAAGCGTTCACTCCATCAGATGTGAATTCCTTTAATATACAGTGCACAGCACTGCATGGATGAATAGCGTGTCACTGTTACTTGTAGAATATTTGCTTTTTTATTCCATGAGAATAGTGTAACACAGGTAAGTGGAGTCGATGCCCATGTGATGCTTTTCTTCCATTATAAATTAATTGATTTCATGAACCACTTATTTTATCATAGCTGGAAACTGATTGTGCACAGAAGTAAGAGAGAAGATTGAGCCAGCGTAACTCATCTCTGTGAGCTCCACCCCAGCATGTATCTAAACAGACACAGGCATAAAATAATGACCTGTTCAACTTTTTCTATATCTCTTTTTTAATTTTAAGCAATGAATTAGTTGCTGTTGTTGTTGCACTTAATATGTAAGTGTGCTAATAGTCCTGACTGTAGTGTATATTTTTGATCTCTTGATTTCAGAGAATCCCAGAGGCTGTGGACCTCCACCTGAAATCACCAATGGAAATGTTACTGGCAGCTTTCTGGAATGGTATCCACATGGGAACAGAATGGAATATGAATGTGACACTCAATTCAAATTGGTTGGATCAAAGGAAATAGAATGTTTGGATGGGCAGTGGTCACCTCCTCCTTCTTGCATTGGTAATCTACCTTCTACTATGTATATAAAACTATGGTGATGCAATACAAAGATAATCAAATGTGAATTAACTATAGCCATCTGTTCACTAGGAAAAAAAAAAAAATTGCTTCTACAGTAAAAACAAGAAAAACCTTGTATAGCTGTTGTGGAAACTTCTTCAGTGAAGGATTCCCCTGATACAGCTGCCCCTGTTTTTCACAGAGCTTGTGAGAACATAATCGCTTCCACAAGTATTTATTTTATTGAACTGTTCAGGAGATTCTGAAGCTAACTGTGGTGAAGATCTGGAAACAGGCAGAGAGGAATGTGCCATCACATGGATATCTTTCCTTAGAAACGGAGCTAGAATCCATTAGCAAACTTCTTCAGTATTACAGAGGTCTCGAAAGTCTTGCAACTACCTTGGGAAATCTGGTAATCTCTGGCTTCTGGATTCTGACACATCTTCCAAAAGCAACACTTATGTTTAAAAACTGTATGACTGCTCACATTTTTTCAATACTTGATCCGCACAGAACAGGTTTTGTGCACAAGCTGAGAAGTGTGTGATCCAAGCATGAGTGCAGAACTTTTCAAGTCCAGTTTCTAAGTTTGCCCTGGGTCTTCCCTTTCCTCCGGTGGAAGACAGTTTTATGCATCTATTCTATTTACATCACCCTTTTCCTTCCTCACAAGGACTACTCATACGCTGCACTCATCTTTGCAAGCCACCAACCTTCACTGTTCCTAGCACAGCAATGATGGCAGCCCGCAGCACGAACTACAGTTATCACAGAGAGGAGACAACTCTGCAGCCCCTCTAATCAATTCTAAGTGATATTAGACAGTTCTTGTAGTAATGCTAATTGAAATTGTACATTACGAATGTGTAGGTATATGATTGAATGTAATTTTTGATTGACCAGAATAAAGGATCCAGATGAGTTGGATTAACTGAAGGTTTTCTTGCACTTTAGGGTTCATGTACCTTTGTAAAACTGTTTGGGAAATTAACCTTAGCTGAAATGACTCATTGAGTACATCCTGGAGTTATCTCAGTGATGGAAAGGAAAGAAATTTAGTCAACTGACTAAATTAAAGATGCACCCCAGCTGTGTAGAAGGTTATTCAAGACGTTTAATTAATGGGAGCAGGTTTTACTCACCAAATGCAAAATGAATTATTTTATCTAAATTCTTTTGGACACTCATATGTGACATCAATACTTTGTGGAATATTTCTGTTCTTTTCAACAGAAGACAAAATGCCATGTGGATCACCTTCTTCTTTCTTGAATGTTGTTCTTCACCAGCAAGATCGAGTCCAGTTTTCTCATGGCGATGAAGTAACCTATGGATGTAAGCAAGGCTCTGGGAATGCTAGCAGAATGAGAACAAAATGTCTTAATGGGGAATGGAAGCCTTCACCTCTTTGTAACGGTAATCTTCTTTCGTATTTCCGTAATATTTCAGTTATGAGTTTAACATTGTTATAGTCGTGGTTTCAAGGACTTCGGGAATCAATAGGTAACTTGAGGTACTATAGTTTCTCACATCTCAACAAAAGGTTTTTTTCATTTCCTTCTCTTTTAAAAGTTAACATAACACATCCTTCATCCTGGAAAGACTATGGAGCTACAAATTTGTAAACACTGAGTAGTTTTGGGGAAGGGAATGGATGGTTACACAGTGGTTAAAATCCAATATGGCTGCTCCACGTCTTTCACCCTACAGCAGTAGTTTTGTAGTCATTTGCCTGTGTTTCCCAGCAATAAGGACCCTTCAAAAACTTCAGACATACCAGCAAAAAAAGTCATGTGCATGTTGTGTTAAATAAATGAAGATTTATATCTCTGGAAATTAGAAATAATATTAATAGCCTCAGTGCGCTGGTTTTACCTTATCCTTGTCATTTTTATGTAGATTAGTCCATTTCTGGTCAGTGGTTTTCTCTCTTTTTTTCTCATGCAGTTTCACAGCGTATAAACTTTTAAAAGCAAGCTGTCTAAAACAAACCTTCTGCCTTAAGAGGAAAAGATGCATTGGAGTCAGTGATTTTGTTTATAAAAAAAAAAAAAAAAAAAGTGAGAAAAAATGATACTGTATAAGAAAGTGTCTTGGCTGCTTAAATTACTCTGGGACTTTAACAAAGATCAATATGATATTATTAGTGCTATAGTATTATTATGTATTATTAGTATTAGTAGCATTATACTATTAGGCATCATATTCATTTATGATATTATATTATTAGTTCTCCCTTTCTTTAGAAGTGATTTTTTTATTCATTGATGATTTGAATACATTGTACTTTATTTACAATTATTTTGAGGACTGTATTTGGCACAAAACACAATCTGCTTAGCTTTCACACACTGCTCCCGAGAGCCTTCTCTTCTCCAAGCTAAACAAGCCCAGTTCCCTCAACCTTTCTTCATAGAAGAGGTGCTCCACCTCTGAAGGAGTCTTAAGAGTTACTTCAAACCACAATAGTGAAACAAAAAACAAAAACACACACACACACAAAAAAACATTTTCATATGGATAAGTATTAGGAAAATGGTGACTTCTTCGTTATGAATGCGTACATACATATTATCTGAACCAAATCTGTTCTTTAACTGCTTATGTTGATTTTCTTCAGCCCCATTTCATCAGTGTGTACGTCCAGAGGATATTGTGGTTGTACGCACTGGTTCTCCCAGGAAAACAAAGGAGACTGGGCTGCATTTAACATATAAATGTAAGCCAGCTGACAGACAATTTAAACAGGCAACTTGTGTGTCCGGAAAATGGTCTCCAGAGATTCAGTGTACAGGTATGATTTTAGATTTGCATACAATTTCTTCTTTTTTGTAGGCATGGTAAATGCTCGTTATTGAAGATTCTTAGCATCTCTGTGCCATGATCAGTAACAGAAATGCTTACATTCTTGTGTATATATATGTATGTATATATATATATATATGTATGTATGTATATATATATATATGTATGTATAATTACATAGTCATGTGAACTAATTAAGGAAATCCTTTGAACAGCAAATTAAATTTAGAAACTCTATTTAGTGAAGCAGACTTAATAGTATCTACTCTGACAGTGGAATCATCATCACTGTCACTTTTGATGTGAGAAAAGTTCAAAGATCTTATATTGCTGAGTTTTCTTTTTTCCTTCCCCTTTCCCACTCCTCCCCCAGTGAAACAGAAAAGAGAGGTTACTGGTTTATGATAGGAAGGCAATATTGAGAAAGAAAAAGACACCCATGGTGTATATTTTTCTGAGCACGCTTTCTGTGAAAACATGTTGAAAGCATTGTAAGCATCTGAGAGCTGCTCTAGTGTTTTTCAAGCAGAGCAAAATGATCATGGTACTAATTAAAACTTGAGACAGCTACTGAAGAGATGTCTACTGCTATTGTTTTCTTAGCTGTTGGTTACTACTGCAATCTATGACGAACTGTTACACTTCATCTTCTGTTCTGTTATGAAATGAATGCATATCTTTAGATGAGAATACATGCCCACCTCCACCACAGCTGCCTAATGCTAAGAAGATACCGATCGGAAGAAATTACAAGAATGGGAGTAAAATAGCTTTTTCATGTCTGGAGGGTTTCCATCTCATTGGTGCAAGTGAAATAACATGTATAAATGGGAAATGGCAGTCACCACCATACTGCGTTGGTCAGTAGCATTTGTTTTTCTCTTTATTTTATAATGAACTTCTGTGTCGTGTACTTGCAGTCATCATTAGCGAAAAGATGCTGTTGTTTTTGTTAGGACTGTCACAGGTAGTTGTACAGATAAGCAATGGAATGTAAGTTGGTTGAAAAAAAAATGGAGTTAAACTGTTAAGATGTAGGCTTTTTTATTCAGACAGATGTATCTGAGATGGCACATAACATTTTCAGGCAATTCCTCAAGAGCTGTGTGTTTATTTGTGTAGCGTACATCAGTGTGGAGTGTCTGTTGAGCAGGAGGTTTTAAATTGTGTCCTGGTGAATCAATTGAGAATTTTGGATGGAGTGGTAGCACTTTCTTTTTTTCTGTCTTTACTCTTGTTTTTTTCTTCTATTTTTTGTGTCTTCTTCTTGAAATACAAGTATAAGCAATATGACATAACTCTGTATGTCTGTCCTTAGGAATCACAGAATGTTTTTTGTTGGAAGGGATCTTAAGAATCATCGAGTTTTAACTTCCTGCCGTGGGCAGAGATATCACCCACTAAGTCAGGTTCCCCAAAGCCAAATCCAGCCTGGCCTTCAGCATTACTGAGGATAGGGCACCCACCGATTCTCCGAGCAAACTGTACAGTATCTCATCACCTCTATTGTAAAGAATTTGTTTCTAATATCTGATCTAAATTTACCCTCTTTTATTTTAAAGCCATTACCGAACTTTCATTATCTCTCCATTCTCTGATAAAGAGCCCTTCCCCAGCTCCTCCTATAAGAATTGGAAGGCCATACTGAGAATTCCTCGGAGCCTCCTCCAGGCTGAACAAGCCCAATTCCTTCAGCCTGTCTTCACAGGAGATGCTGCAGCCCTCTGATTATCCTTGTGGCCTCCTCTGGACCTGCTCCAACACGTTCATGTCCTTTTTGTGCTGGGGGCCTCAGAGCTGAATGCAGTGGGCTGAATGCAGTAACAGTAAAGCAGGACAATCACTTCCCTTGCCTTGCTGGCCACACTTCTTTTGATGCAGCCCAGAATACTGTTGGCTGTCTGGACTTTAAGCGCACGTTGCCAAGTTTTTCATTAACCAGCACCTCCAATACTTCTCTTCAGGGCTGCTCTTAGTCTGTTCTCCACTTAGCCTGTATTTGTGCTTCATATGCTGAGGAATCTGTAGGCCAATGGTTAAAACATTACCAATACAGATAATCTCTTACAAGCAGAAGTTCGTTAAGAGATAGAAGAAAGTGTCTTCAGAAGTGGATAGGAAATAGAAATACGGGACAAATGAGGTGCAAGATAGTGACTCGTGCACAACGTGCCAAGTGAGTCTTTAAACTGAAAAATTTTGGTGCATCGTGCTGGTTTTTTTTCTCTGTTCTTGCTTGTGAGTTTCCACTTCTGCTGATAAGTGGCAGACATAGAGAAGAATAGAGAAAAATGTTTGAGCTGTTCATAAAATAAATGTTCTGCAATAAAATTTTCAGTCCCAGTTGCTGAACAGGAAGTTTGATTATTATTAGATCCTTGTCTCATAGAATTGAGTAGAAATGTATGCTTTCAACTTGATGCATCAATTAATAAATCTAATTTACTGGTAACTGAAAATGAATAATTTATGTTCACTCTGCAAGTGAATAAAGTATGGGCACAATCTTGACTCAGGAAGGCTTAGTAGATGTTTGATCCATTGTATATCTGGGAAAGTAGATTGCTAAGCTCTGATGCTCTCCTTTTTTTTTCCCCCGCTTCGGCAAGAAAATCTCCAGGGTATTGGTACAATTTTGTGAGTTGTGGACAAACTTAACTTAGTTAAAATTCTAGAAACTCACATTCAGTATCCCAAAAATGTGACAGTTTCTTTTGCTTCTCTGCCTATGATTTTTAACCTGTTCTTGTTACTAAGTTTTAACTGTATCTTCTTTGTATGAAGTGGCATATGGCTCTAACTTGGGTCAAATCAAAAGACAAAAAACCCTTGTAGGACGGAGAAAGGAAAGAAGTTTTGCTTTGTGAACCGTTTATATTTATTTATCTGTCTTTCAAGACACTTCATTTTCATTTGGTGATCCTCCCCCTCTACTCTGCCCTGGTAAGACCTCATCTGGAGTACTGCATCCAGTTCTGGGCTCCCCAGTACAAAAAAGACAGGGATCTCTTGGAAAGAGTCCAGCGGAGGGCCACAAAGATGGTGAAGGGCCTGGAGCATCTCTGCTATGAAGAAAGGCTGAGTGAACTGGGTCTGTTCAGCCTTGAGAAAAGAAGACTGAGAAGGGACCTGATCCAGGTCTATAAATATCTAAGGTGTGGGGGGCAGAATGGCGAGGCCGGACTCTTTTCAGTGGTGAACAAAGACAGGACAAGGGGAAACGGCCGGAAACTGCAGCATAGGAAGTTCCACACAAATGTGCACAAGAACTTCTTTACAGTGAGGTGACGGAGCACTGGAACAGGCTGCCCAGGGAGGTGGTGGAGTCTCCTTCTCTGGAGATGTTCAAGACCTGCCTGGATGCCTACCTGTGCGACCTGCTGTAGGGAACCTGCTTTGGCAGGGGGGTTGGACTCGATGATCTCTGGAGGTCCCTTCCAACCCCTACAATTCTGTAATTCTGTAATTTGGATTTTCTTTTCAGTCTTAGACTGCATATATCTTTGTAATATTAATTGTTTTATCTTATTGTTTATCTTTGTGTTTTAAAGAAAAACCCTGTTCACCACCACAACTTATAGAACATGCTGATGATTTCAGGCTGGTAAATCAAAACTTAAAACTGGAAAAAGAAGGGAAAACAGTTTATCTATCTGGTGCTATAGTGAAGTTCATTTGTCAATCTGGATTTGAGTTAGAAGGACCATCAGAGATAAGTTGTTCAATGGGAAACTGGAGTTCATCTCCTATGTGTTCAGGTAATGTCAAATAATACTTTTCCTGAAATGTGCTTAGCAGTGAATTTGAAATACTTTTAAACTGGAGTTGACTAGTAACAACAGTTTAGTATTTTAAGTACTCCTGTGGTATTTTTGCAATCTTTATTGTTTATCTCTACCAGATAAGTCATGGGCACATCCTTATCACACAAGGACCTGTTTTCTACAGGGTCCACTAGTGACTGGGAGTTGCTTTGATGCTTCAGCGATGGATATCACCTCTGTGTAGAAAGGGACAGAAGACTTTACCAAACTTTTCTGGCATTGATAGGAAGAGAATCTAAATCTTTACAGTGACTAAAGTGTATGCCTATTTAGGGGACTAACATGGAAGTTTCTTCATGCTCTCTTCTATACAAAATCTGCTGTTATTGACTGTGCTAGTTAGAAAAAGCATCTATTTGGTCAGAAAAATAATCTCATCCTGTGTGTATCATATTACCATAAGCATCTGATTTGCATATCTTTTCAGAAATGTCATGTGGAAGTATTCCAAATGTTCTAAATTCTGCAATTGAAGGCAGAAACAAGGAAGTGTATGAGCCTGGCGAAACAATTCGCTACCAGTGTGATGAAGGATTCGAGGCTGTTGGTCTCCCAGAAATTATTTGCAGAAAAGGAAATTGGTCAAGACCCCCATTATGTGAAGGTGCGTGTTCTATTTCTAAAGTCTGTAATCCTTTTAGTCTTTTAAGACATTCATTAAAATAATACCCACCCACACATACAAGTGAGTCAAAACAATAGAGTCAATCACTGGATTGATTTGAATGGGATGCTACAACACCTTTTGTCTGGTTCCTGAGAACCATTGAGTAGAACTGAAATCTTTTCCCCTTCTGGGCTGAAGCTAGTAGGTGCAACTGAACTCGTTTCTTAGATCTAACAGATAGAAGGTTGTGGAGGAAAGGGTGCTAACTGCAAAGGGATAACTGGTAAGCTAACGTACTTATTTTTACATCGCTAGGCATGTGACTTTCATTATGAAAGTTACCTTCAAAATATTAAAAAGAATACTCTCTGATCCTTTGGTGCACTACGCTGTAGAGCACCAGCCTCCATGTTCAGCTAATCTCTACAACTCCTTTCTGCTTTTCAGTCACTTTAGGCAAAAAGTATACTGTCAGGTGAAGCACTGCAGAATAAAGACCACAGTATCTTTCTTTCCTACCTGTGGAAAACCTGCCTTATGCAAACTGCCTGCCCTCATCGTGAATAATGCTGCCTCTGAACGCAATATTCTACGGTCATGACATTACTGCCCGAGTATTCTTAAATGTGCCTCTCTTTTCAGATGTTACCTGTGAAGCCCCACCTGAAATTCATAGCGCTAATATTATCAGCACTCAACAGCGGAAGTATCTGCCTGGTGCTCGGGTACAGTATGAATGTGACAGAAATTTTCAGATTACAGGTGTAAATTATGTCACTTGTACAAATGGACAATGGTCACAAACACCAACTTGCAAAGGTAGGAATCCGTGCTTTCATCTTGCCCCTTAGTATAGAGGAGTCGGTCTGTTTACCTAAATACTTGAAAACTTGATATTTTAATTTTGTACCGCAGCTTTGCACCTACTACTGCTTTCTTGCACAGCACTTGAACTTATTGCTTCTGGAAATACTATGTACATTTTCATTGAAAGCAAAAACCTCTTAAAGAAAAAGGGCATTAAAAAAAATGATGATTTTTCATTTTCCACTATGATACTTGTTATTCCCCAAAATACACTGTGTTATTGGCCTTCTCTAGAAAAATATAACTGTCTGAATGGAAGTAGTGGGGGAGAGATCCAGCCATTTTTTCTGAGGGTCAGCTCTAACTGATAGAGATTCCACTAGAATCTCAGGATGTAAAAACTGCAGATCTGCTAGAGTCTTGAAATGGCAAGAGCATTCCCACAAAAAGACAATGTGCTGTCTTCCTTTACCTGCCAAAATCTGTGGCTGGAGGGTGAACTGCTGCTATTTGGCTTTCACATACTTCTGAGGAGTTGACTGCACGTATCTGCCCATGCAGTGCAGGCTGACGACTTCTTCCAGAGCTCTGCAGTTCATCAGAGGGCCAGCTTGGCTGCTACATCTGTGATTTTTCAGAAATGCCGGGGTTCTCTGGGGAGGGCTGTGGCTTAACTAAAAGAACTTTTGTGCCATAAGGTGTAGCTACAGAAATGCTGGCTTTTTTTAGACTCTCTCATTGACACTGCCATCTCCTGAGAGTCCACAAATAAGCGTTCTGCTGCTGCTGTCATTTGAAGTAACACTCCTGCCCACATTCCTGGTGTTCACAGTGTTTTACCCCGGTACGCTCTTGTGGCCAGGAGGAAAAATATGAAAAAATTATTGTGAAGGCATTAGAAGCTCTGGACAGAAATTGTGTGAGCTAGGGAGTAACGAGATCAATTCCCTTACCTAAAATAGGCATAGGGAAACACCTCAATGACTATAACTGCAACTGTACAAGTATCTCTTTTCAGATATGAGGTGTGGACCTCCTCCAGAAATCACTGGTGGTAAAGTTCAAGGTGTTAAGAAGTCCAAGTATTTGCCTGGGGAGACAGCTAAATATGAGTGCTGGAAAGGTTTTCGTATGACTGGAGCTTCCACCATAAGCTGTCAGAATGGGAACTGGACAGAGCTGCCCACGTGCAGAGGTACTTTTCCTGTCTTTCCATCTGGTAGCCTGTTGGTGAGACTGCTATCGAGCTGGCTCAGCGGTATTTACTTCTCCAAATTTCAGTCTCTGAGCTGCAAGCAAGTGCAATGCGATGCATCTGACACGTAAGGACTCCTCAGAGCCCAAGGTCTGCCCCACCATTAACTGAAATTGTATCGTCCAGTGTCATTTGTTCTAGTTTACAGAGAGGTTCACACTTGTCCCTGCTCAGGCATTACAGAGAGCTGGTGGGCATCCAGTTCTGCAGAAAAAGCTGTGCCAAACATCCTGCACTATTGTGTAGGACCAGTGAAAGTCTTCCAGAAAGCAGCAAATGCTCCAGAGATGACAGATGGATGAACTGGTAGTTATGAGTCCCAGCAGTGGAAAAATGAGAAACTCTCGCTCTTCTCCATCTGCCAGATATTTGGTGTCAAGGTGGCAATTTTCTCTGCTTTCCTCTGAGTGTTTCTAAGTATGGGCAAGGTAATTTACCAAAATATTCAAGGCTAGGCTGCTCCTGCAATTAAACTCTGATGCATTTTTCTTTAAGCGTTAACGTTCTTCCAGGAAAGAGTGGAAAATGTGGCCCACCTCCAGATATTGAAAATGGAGATATTCTTTCCTTCCCAAAGTCAGAATATTCACAAGGTGAAACTCTGCAATATAAATGCCCGAATCTCTACATCCTGGAAGGATCTTCGCAGATCAGATGTATTAATGGGCAGTGGACAAATCCACCGGTTTGCTTAGGTAGGTTTAAAGCATGTGCTGCATGGCCAAGAGCTGTGTTACTGCTCACGCTGACTTTTTCTCAGATCCTGAAGGTGTTTCCAATGCACTTCCCTTGTGAAACAGCACTTCTGCTGTGGTTGACAGCAACAAGTCTTCCTTTTATCTAGAAGGAATTTCTTCTCAATGTCAGCTTGTGTGGTCCCCACTGCTGCCTGCAGCCTCTCCTTGCCTCCTCTCACCCACAGAAGGAGGGGAGTTTGGCTGAGCTGCCCATGTGAGGAGATCTCTATCAGTGTGCCGGGCTCCCGTGTTGAGGACACTGCCACAGTCTGCAGTCTGCAATGGGGAAGTTGGGTCTGTCTGAATGCGGTAAATCCAGGGGTGATGTGACCATGAGAAAATGAATTTAAAGACATGCTGGGACAAGGAGGATTCTGAAAAAAGCTACAGGAAAGCTGAATGCTGCCTGCTGAGTTCCCCTGCCCCAGGCTCTGCTTCCCCTTTGCCCCGTGTGACTCTCAGACTGAAACGGCCTCTCCGCAGCACTGCACGTTGATTCAACCATCACCTTTTTTCCCCTTCATTTTTGATGAAGATATCTTTCCTGTTGCAAAAAGCAGAGGCTCAGAGCAAAGTCCTGGAAACATTTTATGATGTGAAGAACCTCTGTAGGGAGAAAAAAATTACATGTGGTGCATCTGTATGAATTGGTGACAATGTTCTCTTTCCTTTTCCCAGCGGCCTGTACAGCGGCTGAAGAAGATATGAACAATAACAACATTGAGCTGAGATGGAGGGACGAGAAAAAGCTGTATTCCGAATCGGGTGATTTTATCGAATTTGATTGTAAAATAGGAAATGTGAAAGACCCAACTTCTTCTCCGTTCAGAGTACAGTGTATTAATGGCACATTTAAATATCCACGGTGCAATCCAGGACGTAAGTCTTCTCCATTTGCCATTGTTTGGCTGCTGTTTTTTGCATAGTTAGTGCAGAAACTGAAAGGGAAGCCTTTAGCAAGTGTGCCTGGGGAAGTAATAACAGAGAACCAGGGTGTGGGAAATCCCATAAAGCTGTAGGCCATGGTGGGTTGTGTTTCAGGTGCTGCTGACAGGAGTATCTGAGAGGAAGGGAATCACCAAGTTGCACGCTAGGGTAATTTGTTCTTTGACTGCCTGTCTAATTCCAGGGAGGACTGAAGAGCACGTGAGTTCCCTGAAAGTGATATCCCTGAAATTGTTTCCCCGACCGTGGCGGGACAGCAAACAATTTCATTGCAGTCTCTCTCAAGCCTGTTTAGGCAGGGTTTTGCTCCAGTGAGCTTCTCTCCTGGGTTGCTGCCATGCTGTGACCCCCTTTGTACCTCTGTGGCCTTTTCAGCTCCTCTCTGCTCATACCATGTTCTGATATGTGTAGAGACAGCAGCTGATGCCCATTGCAAGCCTTTGTAGGCTTCTCAGAAGGGAAATCTCTGCTTGTCCCCTTCTACAGTTTCCATGAGCAGGCCTTACTGGATCATTGCTAAAGAGTATGAAATGAGCTTTTTTCCTTCACAGTCTGCATTATATTTCACAAAAGGGAAGCAGAATAAGTGTTTGAGGCAATAATTGGTACCAACTTCTTCAGAGACTTGGCTTCCAGTGTGAGATCTACAGGCAAATCGTGAGAATACTTCACGTGGTTAGCGGAGCTTTTTGTTTTCCAGGTGACTGCACAGTGCTTGAGTCAGAAATGGATAAGAACAACATTAAACTAGAATGGAGAAAGCCTTACACCTATCGCTCTAAGGAACGTATTTCCTTTACATGCAAGTGGTTTCGTAGGGCAGTTTCAAGACCGGAGAAATTTAACCCACAGTGTCTGGATGGAGTAATTGAGTACCCTCAATGCACAGTAAGTAGCTCATATGGGAGGGCACATTGGGCTGTAAAAGAACTGTAAGCAACAGCCAAGGACTGTTGTAAAAAGAGGGTCAGACTCCTTTAATCGCATACCAGCCTGCATCTGTCATGGAGGAGCTGCTCCTGTTCCAAGGGACCTGGGGAATTGAATTCAAGCAGGGAGCGTGGTTGGCAACTGCTTTTCTCTGCTCTCGGGAAACGTGACAATATGTCAGCCAGATCTCTATTTCCCCTTCTGTCTCTTTACAATGCAGGAGCATCTGGATATACGGAAATGACATGACTGAGTCCAGCTGGAGAAATGAACTCTCCTTCAACAAATCCAGTGATTTGAGCTCAAGTTTTCCCAGAGTTTCCTGCTTTATTGTGCTTTATAGCTTAGACAGTGTTCTCTGCTGGAATGTGCTAATTCATTTTCTTTATATTATTGGATGATTTTGTTTAAATTTAACCATTTTTTGTAAATTTATTTACATTCTGTAATTGTGTTTACATTTCATCCACCTGAGTGTACTTACTTGCCTCTTGCCTATTCTGCATTGATCCCTGTTACTTTTATTTACATTTTCATCCTGAAGTAGGCTGGCTTCGGTGGCATATTGAGTCAAGAATTAAAAAGCCTGCAGGTAATTTGATTATCAGTGTATTTCGCCTCATCTGCTTCTAGCTTTTTCTCCATGAACATGCTTGGAACTTAGCCTGGGAATGATGGCAGAGTCAGGGTGAGTCTTCTTTAAACAACTGGGGGAATCTCTGGATCACAGAACCCAATTCCTACTCAGGACCTGAGCTTCCATGTTATTTGGTGGAAAGGCAAGATGCTGGGATGCAAGTGACTAACTGGTATTTCTGGATGTAGTTAGGCACAACTCCTTCTGTCCAGGTCCTGAAATGAGACCTGCCATCCTTTTCATTTTTTGGTGAGCTTGCATTGCTGTCTTGATGGATCTGATACGCTTGTGCTTTATTTATTTTTTTGGTAATTGATCCAATGGTGACATATTGCAGCTGATGGATAGGAACAGCTAGTGTGTTTATGTGGCATTGGTTTACTGCTCGTTGGGGAGCATGTTTACTGCCTTTCTTGATAGAGCTTCATAGAAGATACGCTCTTCATTTTTCTTGAAGTTCACTTTTCTAAGAATTTTTTGAAAGGTAGTGTGCACAGCACACGCAGCTCGGTGCGGCAAGGGATGATTCTTTGACCTTGAGATGCCTTCAGTACAGAGAGATTTTTATTTAACTTCACCAAATTCATTCAGCCAAGCTCATGAAAATTAACCAACGCAATATGCTGCATTTGTGTACTGTTAATGGAGTCTAACAGTCTCGGTATTCAAGAGGGGTATAAACATGAGTTGAGTTCTAAGAAAATAGAGCAAGTAAGTAGTACCTGATTTTCCTGTTGTTGCTTTTGCTGATGAGGGAAATTACAGGACAGCTAAAACCTTGCTTTAGTCACCAAATAATTGGACATGATTTCTTGGGATAAGATCTCAAGAGAACAAAGGCCTGCTGACTCCCCTTGCAGACAGGTCTTTTGTTGCAGGAACTTGGAGAAGAGGGAATCTTTCAGCTGAAGACTGGGATGAATCAATGCTGAAGGTCCAATAGAACAGTAGGGCTCCAGTGTAGGGTGCAAGTCCCCCTGCACAAGATAAATCCATTGAGAGTAGCAAGAAGCTATTAAAGCTTCTGTTTAGACTATCAAAAAAAAAAAAAAAAAAAAAAAAAAAAAAAAAAGAAAAGGAAAAGAAAAAGAGAAGAAATTGAGCTTTAATGCCATTTAATGTACAGATTTGACAGCGGTGATCTCACTCAGTTACTCTGTTAGAGGACCACGGATCATATAAGGCAGAGAAGTGTCCTGGGGGAAGAGCTGGTGCTCCATATTGCGGAGGGGTTCCATTTAGCTGTCTGGACTGTGGGAATGAGAGAGAGGTAGACACTGTATTTTAAACGTTCATGTTGAGAAGAAGTGCGTGTTGGGCTTGTTTGTTTGTTTGTTTATCAACTTTGATGAAGCCTCTTGTTTCAAAACCTTATCCAGATGACAGGAAAAGCACTGCCAGTACTTTCAGTGCAAAGCGATAGGCTACTGCAGCGCATTATTATTTACTTTATGTGCTCATCTTCGCAGCCTTACAAAATGGCATTCATCTGCCATGTATTGTTACTGAAGGGGATCTCTTCCTCCCCCCCGGCTTCAGCCAGAGCTGAAGATCTGGTAGAAAAACAAATGCATAACGTTGAATGCAATGACAGCAACAGAATGAGAAGAAATCTTGGCAACATGTGAGCAACATTAATAATAGTAACCAGTATTATGAAAACAGTCCTAGTGAAAATGCAGCGATAAGCTGAATACAGTGATATACGATTCATCACCTGTATTGCCTACACAAAGTAACTAAAATCCAAGTTCCACAAACACAAATACTCCTTTTGACATTCTCTTGTGTACAGATGCATTGGCAGAAGCAATATAAGCCTCATAGAATTCTTCTTCCTAACATTTGCACACACGGTCTGTTAATATTGCGTTGTACTGCTGTATACTCAGTCCTCAGTCTATAGAACATTTTCTCATTTCCCTCTCTTTTCGACTCAGATTCAACAATGCCACTGAACACTCCTTTCTCAAAGTCAACTGTAGTCATCTTGAAGGTAGGAGGCCACCTTAATCAACACTAGATAAAGAACACATACATGCATATCTTTCCAATACATTTTTTTAAAGTCATACTTACCTATTCTCTCCTTTCAACACATCTTGGATACGCTAGCTGTCCTCTCTTGCACTGCACTTGAAATAAAGTCGCACCAGATTCTGCTCCAACATGGCTCTGTTTGCAGTAAAATCCGACATAATCTCCATGGTAAAAGTAAACTTGGCTCTCATAAAAACTTTCCAGCAGCACGTTATTTTTTTCCATCTCACTCTTTGACAAAGTGCACGGCTCTAACGAATAGAGATATATTCAGTGTTAAGAAATCAATTATTTTTGAAATCAGATTATTGTGACTAGAGTTGATGCTCAAAAGGCAGGTTATTCCCCATTCTCTTAAGATATTATACATGAAATCGCTGTATTTTTGGACACAGCTGGCACGTAAGATGTACTTACTTAAAAAAAGCCAATCAAGGTTTTACTTGCTCCTATTAAAACAGGCCATTCCTCTCTAACTGAAAAATGCAGTCGAGATCTTAATAATGTTCCAGCTGATAACACTCAAAATCTATAAATACTGAGCATCAATCTATAAATGGTTCACATCTAACAACCAGAAATAAATGCTCATATATCTTATATATCTTCTTGTGCCTACCTATACAAAGTGGTGGTGAAGTCCACCGGCCTTCGGAACAATAAATTCTTTCAGATCCTTGCAAGAAGTAATAATCAGAGCAACTATACTGAACTGAAGAGCCATTGTCATACTGGGTCAGAGGTGGGAGAGTAAGAGCTCCATTTGCAACAGACGGTGGAGAGTCACATTTTTCCGTGGGAACTGGAATAATGTCAAAAATCTTTGTGAAAAATTCAGCTACCAAAGAAACTAACAAGTCAGCAGCTTTAAATTGCTGTCAGCACTACATAAATATCAACCCAGTTTATTCTCAATACTTCTACATTACGTCTCAAATCGGAATGAAATCTGAGTTCTTTCTGAACCATGAGAAACCCCTTGTATGCGGTTCAGTGTTTACAGCTGTCTTTCTACAGCAGAGCTTTCACTTCCCTCAGCTTGAAGAACAGCTCCTCCCTCCCTTCTATTGCCTTCCCACCACAGGAAGGCATATTGTTTTTATTATGCTTGTATATATTTAACAACTATATTCAACACAAATTTAACAATTTATCTGTATTGGGTAAAGATATCAGTCAGATACTAAACTTTATTACTATTTATAATACTTTCTAGGCCTGTACTGCTGAAGCAAAAGTTTCTGAATAGGTCTGAGATTGATGAAATCAAAAAGACAAATGGAAAGGACGGTTTTACCTTGCAAAACACATTTGGGGTATTTCAGCCTTCCATGGTCACACCGAGTTCTCCCAGGGGATGGCATGGTAGCATGGGGAAATTTGTATCCTCGCTTACATTCAAACTCAATGAGATCACCGTGTAGGAAGACGAATTCTTCCTGTCTCCATTTCAACTCTATATTGTTACTATTCATATCAGTTACATTAAGAATGCATGGATCTAGGAAATAAAAACAATCAAGCGATTTCTTAACTCTTTTTTGTAGGATTTGGGAAAAAAAAAGGAAATAAACCCATGGTACTAAAATATTTTGGAATTCTGTGAGAAATAACATTTTGAATATATTAAAAAAAGGAAAAGAATACAAAAGTAAAGAAATGGACCAAAGTAACAAAACTAATATGCAAAAAAAACCCAAAACAACTCAGAACAGTAATTCCCAGAAAACACAAACTTCTGATACGTTTTCTACAAATATTTTTAAACATCTGGCATGCTTCATTTTGAAATAAATAACTAAATCTTAGACATGTTATTTATTTGCATTATCATAATAGATTAAAAACCTAAAGTAAATACCTTTTAACAGTGGATCCTAGTGGAAAAATGATCATTTTTTTTACAGGAAGGAAAGAAGGATACATCTATTGTATTTTTTTCCTGCAAGGCTTACCCAAGCAAGTAGGCCGTTCTGTCCAGTTTCCTTGTTCGCAGTAAACAGTACTGGGTCCATCCAAAAAATGGTAACGCTGGCAACTGTATTCTACTGAGCTGCCATTTTTGTAACTCGGTAATAAAGGGCCAAGGAGAACACCATTTTTAATCACAGGTGGAGAGGTACAGTTTTGCTGTATTTCTAATACAAGGTAAGAAGATACGTAATTAAGTCTTTAAAATGATGTCAGCACTGTGAAGTGTTTGAATAGCGATGGAGTTTGATCCAAAATTTGCATATAAATAAAGTGTCTGACAAGGTCCACAATTCCCCTACTGAAGTGCAGGCAATTTTTATTCATTCTACACTTCTCATCTATGTCCACTCTTAACTCCTGCTGGTTTACAGTTGGTATGGACTAGCTGTTTGGGTGTGCTGAGACCGTCTGTTTTGTTGCTTGAAATGTTAAACCCACATGGAGTTCAAAATAAACCTCGGTGAACTGTTAAATAAAGGATCAGCAAAATACTCCTGAATTTGCACATTCAGACAATAGCAACAGAAGCAATGCAAAGTGATTGCAGCTAAATGCTAATGCATGTAAAAAAATTACATATACAGCACTGAAATATCGTTTTAGTTCACAGTCTCTGGAAATAAGAATGTTCTTCAAGCATACTGCTAAAACAGTACACAAAGAATATGCAAACATCCACAAGAGTAAGGAATGGTAGGGTCGCAAAAGAGTAATAAGGTTAGTCATAAAATACCTGTAACAGTACTAGAGAGCATTGGATTTCTTATTAAATAGAAAAGCACCTACTCATTTCTTCACTGTGATATGTTTTGCTTGCCCTTATTGATGCATCTGCCTCGAATGCTGGTGTCTCAGATTCCCTTTTATCCATAGATCCTAAAATCACAGCAGAAACTTAGAACCAGATTCCTTGAAAATAATTCATTCTCAATTATTAACAAACAAACAAACAAACAACAACAACAACAAAAAACAGAAAAAAAAACACTAAGAAATAATCTAGCTCATCCTCTTTCTTAATGTGCAGCACTTAAACTCTCAAGCATTTATCAGAGGAGGACAAATAGCTTTGCAGGTATGGAAACTGTGACTATTAAGAACATTAAGATACTGTTTAAGAATTATTTCTCATCAGCTGCCAGAGGTACTAACCCATACAGATAGGAGGTGGCGTCCATTTTCCTTTTTCACACTGGATTTCCCCAGATCCTCTTATTTCATATTCACTCTGACACTGTATACGAACTCTGTCGCCATTGCGATACGTTCTCCTAACTGCGACGATATGGGCATGAGGAGGCAGTGGTGGTGGAGGACATTTATTTCTTACATCTGAAAATAAAAAGCACATTCTGTTTCCCACTAAGCAAACCTGTAAGCAGAGCAATTCATTTAACCATATAGTGTGCGAGTCTATGTTTTTAGAAGACATTTCTGGTTAACCAGAGGAACCTCATAGCTTCACAACTCATTTTCTAAAATGAAGATTTAGAACAAAAATGGGATTTTACTTTCAGCAAATATAAAAGAGAGGTATTATGATATTGCACTGCTATAAACAAACTAATAATCTCTTGTGTACTCAGTAAAATGTCCTTTCAAAGTATGCAGGTAACAGAGATTTTCCACACCCTCCATTAATACAGTACTTAACACAGCCGATGTAGCAATTCTAACACTACACAAGCAGTGAAAGCAGTGACTCATTTCCTATCCTCACATGAAGTTTGTAGTCAGTATTGCCTCAAAACTAGATTTAGGCCACATTTTCATTTCTTCTGAGCACTGCTCTTTCTTTGCGCTCACCCAGGAAACAGTTCTGAACAAATGCAGGGCTGAGGAATGTACTAAGGTGTCATTTTTTTGAGAGAGATTTTACTGCATTTTAAACCCAAGCATAACTGCTAGGAAAGGAACGTAAATTTCATCTTTGTACCAATCACATTACTTTCTACAAGATCGGCTACGAAGCAGTACTGTGCTCAGCTTTGGGCTCCTCACTACAAGAAGGATACTGAGTTAATTGAAAGCTGGTAAAGAGACTGGGAAACAAGACATATGAGAAATGGCTGATGGAATTGGAGTTGTTTTCTGGAGAAGAGGAGGCTGAGGGGATACCTCATCACTCTGTACAACCACCTGGGAGCAGGCTGCAGCAAAGACATTGTCCATTTCTCTTCTCATGTGACAAGTGATAGAAAGTGAGAGAACAGCCTCGAGTTGCAGAAGGGGAGGTTTAGATTGGACATCAAGAATAATTTCTTCATGGAAAGAGCAGTTAGGTTTTGGAAGACACTGCACCAGGGACGTGGTGGAGTCACAGATTTGAGAGATGTGTGGGTGTGCTGCTTAGGGACACGGATGGACATGTAGCATTAGGTGAACAGTTGGACTCGATGATCTTAAGGGTCTTTCTTCCAACCTAAATGATTCAAAAACATCAATTTTATTTAAAAATGCACTTAAGACAGTAGTGGGGTATTTTGGGGTTTTTTTTTTGTTTGTTTTTTTAAGGAGACATACTTATATATTCTTTCTTCCTCAAGCATCAGACAGAAATGCTGTAAAACAACTGTTCTTAGTACCTCGAGAGGCATGCTCTCATCTCAGGAAGCCATGCTTGAATAATCCTTCGAATAATCTGAATACAGTTTACCTTGAACTCAAAGGCTGAGCAGCTTCCCCTCTATTGCTTCTTCCTGCTTTTCCAAGAAACAACACATGAAGAAGCAGCAGGTAACAGTACCCGCTCGATTGTTAGATTCCACCTAGAACAGGCGGAAGCAGCTTAATTCCAATCGCCATTTCCTCTTCCCCACCATTTAGGCTTCGTGCTCTTCTGCTAACACTTTATTTCTGCTCAGGTTGTAAAACTGGTACAAGAGCTTATTTTTATTTTGTGTTCATAAAGAAGGCATTTCATTTCATGAAAGCGCGGGAGAATTTTACATATCACAAATGTAAAAATAAGGGTACCTTCACACACTGGAGGATCTGGATACCATCCAAAGTAATAACATTGAATCAGGTCAAATTCATGAAAAGAATAATTTTCCTCACAGAAAAAATGAACAACATCTCCTTCTTCATAGATCTTCTTCACAGGATAGAAACCTCCATGTTCTATTACACCCAAGGAGGGGCAGGTTTTTTC